TTAAAATTCTAATGAAAAATTTTTTTTTCAAATTTATTACCACTATTTTTTTTAAAATAATTTATTTAATAAAGTTTTTCTTATTGGTCGTTTGTGAAAAAACAAAAAATGTGGTAATTTCCGTTTTACAGACAAACACATTTATTTTATTTATTTATGTAAATGTATATATTAAAACTCCATCAAAACAATATTTGTCTTGAATGACCCTTTACTTAAAGAAACCTTACCCATTAAATTTGAGCGAATACATTTTTTCAACCACGGCTATCAGAAAATAGCACCTACTTCTCTGAAAACTGTCTTAAACCAAACGAACTCTCAAAACATTATAAACAAAGCGTAATACCCCTCGAAGGCTTTAAGTTACTTTATTGTAAGTGGGTGATTTTCGGTATATAGGAAATCAGATAAGTCAGAATGGAAGGAAAGGTAAAGATATAAAACAGAGGATATCGTAGGGTCGAGTCGCCTTCAACAAAAATAAGTCACTTTTTGCTCGCGAACGGTTAATTTAGAAATTCGAAAAAGATTGCTAAAGGTGTATGTCTGGAACGCGGCGCTATACGGGTGCGAAGTATAGACGGTGGGCGCGGCGGAAAAGAAGTGCGGTGTTACAGGCGAATGATGAGGATAGAGAGGGTTGGAAATGAGAAGGCATTAAAAAGAATAAAAGAGGCCACTATGGAAGTCAATAAGAAATAAACGAAGTAGGTTGGTAAGACATCTCAGTCATGAAGAGCAAAAAAGAATGAGGAGAAGTAGACTTCTATTGGATTATTGTTCACAAATAGTTAAGGCGAAGATTAGCTCAGGATAGAATTGATATTGGACTTAATTACTATATTATTTATATGAAAAGATGATTGAGGATAGATATTTGTAAAAATTTCATTTTACCACGTCCTTTTTTCAAAAATAGTACAAATTTGCTTACGCAATTATTAAATGACCCCTGTCTAAAGAAATAGATATTAATGAATCATTTAAATCAGAATTTCAGAATCTTTTAATTTGTTTTTTTTTTTTGTAGGACGTGAAGAAAATATACTCCGTCCAGATTCAAAAGAAATTCAATTGTTCGTATTTTTTTTTTAAAATAACAGAGTCCTAAAGCTTAACTTTTTAACGTATTTGCGTATAACTTAACTTTTTTCTTCTACAAAGAAACCGTTATCTTTATTTGATTTGCAAAAAGAATAAATTGTCTTTTTAGCTTTAAGTAGTAATTTCGTGAGACCGCACAAAAAAGAGAGACGAACATCACTTTCATGCACTAATGCCTTTTATGAGGTCATTAATATTTTGTCAACTGTCACGCGATTTATTACAGAAGTCACGCCGGCACATCAAAGTACGAAACAAACTTGAACTTCGTATAATAATACTACTACTAACATTTTCACTGTTTATAAGGAGGGAAGACTACACACGACAATCTTTAGAGGAAGTAGATTTCGCGGATATTCACTTTTAATAGTTGTCCAGATTTACAATATTGTAATAGGTTACATGCCATGGGACAATTGTGCTCTTTATTTCTAAGTAAACGGAAAAACAACTTATAAAGGTGTGTCACTGTTCATAGGACACGCATACATACCTATAAGATTATATGCATTACTTGTAGGATTAATTTGTTTGTGTAAAAATAAAATTGTTCGAATAATAAAAAAATAAAAATTAATAAAACCAGTCAGGCAAAGGTACGTGTTCGATGTGGTCAAACTATGAAAAGAAACTTAAAAATCAATAGATATTAACTGAAAATTTTGTGGAAAGAAGGGGGGTAAAACCACACCATTTAAAAGACGAAAGAGTAAAGAGAGAAAAAAGGAATTAGTTTAGACTAGGAAGTGAAAATAGGACAGCCGGTCCTGGGAAGAAGGGAATAAAATATTCAGGCTGTGTAAATTGGAACCGGACATGCTTGAATATATTTTTGGGATGGGCTAAAAAGGATGAGGGAAATCTTATGAAGGAGGAAAACATCACAAAAGGTTGAAAATGTTGAGTTTGTAAAATTCATGTGTATGTATAGACTATTGGGATCCGTCAAATGGGAGGAGCCTAAAAACATGGCGCCCATTAGGGAAAATTTATCGTAGTTTCTATAGTGTACCGTGCAATTTCCAAGTTTTTAAATTACGATAAAATGATAAGTATTGACACATTATGTGATTGGGCTGACACAAAGCCTCGGAAAGGAAATTTCGTTGAAGGTGAGCGTGTTTTTAATGCCAATCACATTATCGAATTCCGAAATAACAAATACGGAAGCTAGCCTTCAAATTCCGTCAAGTTTACTGCCTACTTTTTACAAACTTATGATTTAAAAAGTGATTCACGTTATATAATTGGTGAGGTGATTCTGGGTGATTTAAGCAATATCATATCANAAATAAAATGAACAAAAATAAGAATGCAAAATAAAAACTAACTCAAATTAACTACAAAAAAACATGCAAAATAAAAAATTAACTTGAATAAAATGGACTTAATGAATTCTACTAGATAGAGCATGCAAGATAAAGAACTATTTTAAGTATGGGGTCATCTATGTCTTCTTCAACGTCGATCTGAAACAGACACGGTGGTAACAGATTAATAAAGAGCAATTAAAATTAATTATATCAAGTATTCTCACCTTAATTAACTGTAGAACGTAATGTTCCAAAGTTTGCAGGTGTGAAAAGCAAACCAACTTCAGGAGAAATACCATAGCAGAAAATTTGTTGTTTCACTGGAATTCCAATAAATCTCCAGTTGCTCTCACTTGTCGGTTGAAAATTGACTGCATAATGTTGCAAGATGAGGACAAAACAGCAAAGAATAAACTCCACGAAAGACCACACCCATCTAGCCATTGGTATCCAAACTAAACAAATTCTCTCTCATTTATAGGACGATCTGCGGAAATTGGCAAAAAAGATATCAGTTACACTACTAATTAACGCAAAGAGATACAGGACACGCAAAAACACGCATCAAAAAGCAAGTAAAACAAGCGAACTATAAAATGGAGACAAGCGTCAAGTTGACATGATAGATCACATTTGACAAATGAGATATAATCGTAGATGCATAACCATAGATAATATGCATAACGTCGATTTATGATGTAGACAATAGATAATTATTGAAATACCATAGTGCACGATAATCAATTTTAGCTGTGAACAATAGATACATGTTAAACGAAATTCCATAGATGTTGCCGGTAATAGATCACAACATCAATTAATACTATGGAGAACAGATAGTTGTTAAAAGAAATGCCAGTACAGATTAATAAAGAGAAATTAATATTAATTATGTCATGTATTATCACCTCAATTAACTGTAGAAAGTAGCGTTATAAAATCTACCACTATAGTGGGAAAATAAAATCTAGAAACCACTGCAGATAATTTGCTGTTTCTGTGGCTTCCGAATTATATCTCCAATTGTCTCCCATTCTCAGAGCCAAAATTAACTACTCAATGCTGCAAGGTGAAGACATCAAAAGCATTGCTTGTTTCAACAGTACCAAAATTAATTTCTTCTCATTTGTTTGACAATCTTTACAAATGGGCAAGAAAAAGTAATTAATTACCACTTTTAAAACAATTAAATCAGTAACATTCATACTGATGAAAAGATCAGTTCTATATTAATTCAGCTGTTGTGCTTCTGCCATTATTGAAACACTGTTTAAAAATTTTCTATTAAAAGTTGCAAATGTCAAATTTGTGGGACCTCATTGACTATTTTTAATTAGTACTATTACTTACTAGTTATAGATTCACCCTTTAGCAACAACACACTGCCTTCATTCCCAATAAAAAGCCGTGCTTTCTTTAAGGTCATTTCTGGAGCAAATGAGAAATTTTTCTCACTTACCAGTTTTACAACCCCTAATGTATTCAAGAAGTACACAATTACAGATCACAAACTTATTCTTCAGTAATCCACTTCATCATCTGATCGTTATCCTTATTTCCAGGAGAGAGCGCCCTTCTTTGAAACTTAATCTAGACAAAAAGTAATTTTTTTTTCTTCAAAACAATAAATGGTTATGTTTTGTGTGCAGATTATTCACTTACAAATACTGTACAATGAAATTTTGTTCTGTATACATTCAATAATTGATGGATTAAAGTAAATTATATATTTTTTATCTTTTATTTACATGTATTACATTTACAGCAGCCCAAAAATTGATATGAACATTCTTGAATTAAATTTTAGCAAGGAAACTGAAGATA